ATATATGTGTGTGTGTGTGTGTGTGTGTGTGTGTGGCATTGGTGGGCGTCAGCAGGTGGCGTGATGGTTAAGGCACTGGACTCCCGCAGTTTGCATCTCAGACCTGGCAGCTTACTTTTTCACTTTCCCTTTCTCTGTCTCTCTGGCTACACTAAAACAATAGTAATAACAACAAATAAATAAATATCATAAAATGTTAAAAACAATAACAGAATTAAGTTAGAAAATGTAATGGCATTGGCGGGCCAGCAGGTGGCGTGGTGGTGGAGGCACTGGACTCCCACATGGCAGAACACAGTCCAAGTCCTAAGTCCGGCAGCGTAACTATGCCAGGTGTGTGTGCGTGCCCAAAAGCCTAGAGGAGAGCGAAGAAGAGACCGCAGCATGGCCATGCCCTCGGGGGTGGTTTCTTCCCTTCTCTCTCTGGTGAGTGCAGGCATCCCATAACCAAAAAAAAGGCATTGGTAAGAGAGAAATAGTTCTCATTCACCTCCGTCTCCTTGGCAGCTCCATCCCCATTTCTTTTTTTAAAGAATTATTTTTATTTACCTTTATTCATGTATTTAAATTTGACCAGAAAGGGACAGGTTGAGAGAGACAGAGAGACAGAGAGAGAGTGAGAAAGCAAGCCACCAGGTCCAGGACTTGAACGTAGCCGGCCATGTGGCAGTCCAGCGCCTATCTGAGTTATGAGGAAGTGTGTGGAATTCTGTATTCGGGACTCTGTCCCTCAAAGGAACCATGATTCAGGCTGAGGAATCTCTGCTCCCATTCCTCCCCCTGAAGAGGCTTGCTTCCCACTACTCGGGACCTCGCCTTCTAGTTACTTCGGACAGTCTCTCTGCGTACTTCCATGAACAACCAGAAATCATGCATAATAACGCCTTGTACAAACCATTTTTGAGAAGTAGCATGATGTCCCTTTACAGCCACCGTTCTTCCGGCTGCAGGTGACAAGACAATAGCAGCCCTGGACGGACGTGAGGTCAGAGGCCCACGTTACCGCTCGGCGTCCAGCCATTGCTCACGCACACACACTGTCCCCAGATCGTCAGGTGGGTGTCCGCATGCTTCAGGTAAGAGGAAATGCTGGGAAAGAGAAGCTGGCCAGGCCTCCCGGTGCGGGAGAGAGCTGTCCTCTGGGACTGCCAAGCCCTGGCCTAGGCACCTCCCCGATTAACTGTAGGAGCCGCTGACTGTCCTGCAGCAACACTCTGTCTGAACTGACCTCTCCTCTTGGCTAAAATACTCGTACCATTTTCATCTGTGAAACAGACGGCACGGCACCGTCGATATAGCTGGACAGCTAGATGAGCTCACCAGAGTGACCATCACGTTAGTAAGCCCGTGTTCAGTATCCGTTCCATACGTGGACATAGACCACGGCGGGCTAGGTCTGCGTGTGAGCCCGCGTTCCTCTTCTTCACTGAGCGTGATTCGCGGGGCGCCCACGTACAGCCTCACACCATCTGTGTCTTCTCCAGCTCAGTGGGGTTTACAGTATGTCATTTCACGAGTCATGTGAAATTTTATTAAACACACACACACACATATAGTATTAGTACACATAGACTTTTATGAGACCATGCCTATTCCAGGGTAGACACTAGATAAATGAAAGTTCTGTTTCACTCTCCTTACACTGGCTTGGTTAATTTTTTGCAAAAACCAGTCAGGCAGCACTAGCTAAACAGTTGTCAAACTGAGCCCCAGGCAAGCGTTGGCCTTCCTTCTTGGCTTCTGCCTGCTTGCTCCTTTCTTTAAAAAGAATTATTTGTTTAATTTTATTTGTTTATTCTTTTTCTTCAGTTTGACCAGAGAAAGAGACAGAAAGTGAGAAAGCAAGCCACTAGGTTCAGGATTTGAACTGTGGTCAGCCATGTGGACGTCCAGCACCCCAACCACCATGCCACCTGCCAGCCCTGAGTGCTCCTTAATTGGACAGGCAGGTCAAAAGGAAACTGTGAAGGGAAGTTATCTTTTTCTTTTTTTAAGAATTACTTTATTTAACTTTTTATTTTATTTATTTACTTGTTTTAATTTCACCAGAGAGGGACAGCCAGAAGGGGGGGGTGAGAGAAATTGATAAAGCAAGCCACCAGGTCCGTACTCGAACTGCGGTGGGCCATGTGGGAGTCCAGCGCCCTTAACCACCACACCACCTGCTGCCCTGGGAACTTATCTTAAAATTATCTAACTTGGTTTTAAGGAATGTGCAATCGTTCGGCCTGGCATGAATCAACGATGTAAGGTTTGGTAAGGATGCACAGAAATCTGACCGTGTTAGTCAACCTAACATGTTCAATATCCGTTCCATACGTGGACATAGACCATAGACCAGGGACCAGCAGTTAGCGTAATGGCTATGTCACTGGACTCCCATGTGGTCGACCGCAGTTCGCGTCCCGGACCCGGTGGCTTAAAACTCACGACAGGTGCGTGTGCGTGCGTGCCCAAGATCCCGAGAGGAGGACGGATTGTGGCATGGCCATCCCCCTGGGGGGTGATTACTCACCTTCTGTCTCCCTGTCTCTCTCTGTCTGTCTGGTGAGCGCGCACGCCCTATAGTAAAAACCTCTCCCCCCCAAAAAAATCTGAACGTGTATAAAGGGTATAAATTAGGGCATGAATTTTTCTCCTTTACCATGATTCACCTGCAGGTCCCCAAACTTTTGGTGTCCCAATTTCATATCTGAAGAAAAGATGCTTCGAGCAGGGGTAACAGCTCAGAGCTATTCCTTCTGCAGCTTGCTGTCCTGGCTAGTGGTGAAAGTGAACACCGAACAAATCGGTGAATGCACTCCCATACGATTTTCAGTGGAGACCATGGGAAGGGAGATCCATATGGCAAGAAAAAGGGTAAAATGAGAGAAGCCATGAACGGACTCGAGGTGTTCCACGAGGAGGTTTGCTTAGCAGGGGCCACTCCTCATTCCCTAACGTGACCGCCCTCGCCACAGGAGCACACGCATACTGTGAGAGCCCTTCTACCTGACGAGGGGCCTCTGCCCATGCCCGGAATGCTGAGCTCACCCACATGTTCCTCAGATACGCACGGCTGACGCCAGACTGCCAGAGTGTGGGTGGGTTCCACCGGACACTTCTAAAGATAGACTTTTTAGTTTATTATTTTAATTCCCGGAGGGTGGGGCCAGCAGGGCATAATGGTTATGTTGCTGGACTCCCATGTAGTTGACCATAGTTCAAGTCTTGGACCCAGCGGCTCAAAACTTAGCGCTGAGTGCATGTACGTGTGTGTCCAAGATCCTGAGAAGAGAATAGGGAAGGGACTGCAGGTGGCCATCCCCCTCAGGGTGATTTCTCTCTTCCTGTCTCTGCCTCTCCAGCAAGCACACACACTATACCAAAAACCTCTCTAAAATGAATAAATCAATAAACACACTATACCAAGAACCTCTCTAAAATGAGTCAATAACAGCTAGAGGGCACGTGTGCTCAGTGGAGAGAAGCACCACCCACTGGAGTAGGCCACAGCACAGTCCAGTCTCCCACTTCTCCTTCCCATGAGGATTTCGGACAGGCACACACATGCTTCTAGCATGTTTTTCAAGCTGCCAGAGTGAGGATTTGAACCTGTCAGCCATGTGGGATCCAGCCACCAATGTACAGCACATAGCCTCTGTGCTACGGGGCCAGGCCAATAATCTTTACATATTTTTAAAACCTATTTATTTATTTAATTCCATTTGTTATTATTATTTTTTTTAGAGGTTTTTGCTATAGGGCACGTGCACTCGCCAGACAGACAGAGAGAGACACAGAGACAGAAAGCGAGAAGTCACCCCCCAGGGAGGATGGTCACGCCGCTATCCCTTCTCCTCCATTCTCCTCTCGGGATCTTGGGCACGCACGCACATGCGCCCGACGTGGGTTTTAAGCCACCGGGTCCGGGACGTGAACCATGGTCGACTACGTGGGAGTCCAGCAACATAGCCATTACGCTAACTGCTGGTTCCCCCATTTGTTATTATTTTTTTAATCTGACCAGAGAGAGAGAGAAAGGAAAGGGAGAAAGCAAGCCACCAGTCCCGGGACTCAAACCATGGTCGGCCATGTGGGAATCCAGCACCCTTAACCACCATGCCACCTGCCAGCCCCTTTACATTTTTTTTTAATGCTAATATCTAAAGAAACCCTGTAATCAAATCATTTATAAATATTTATGATGAGAAAACTGGATACGTCGCTTTAAAAACACTTCAGTGAGGCCCAGAGGCAGTAGCACACTCTGGACGGCCCTGCGCTGCACACAGCAGGCTGAGGCCACTGGGAGGAAGGGTCAGGCACAGTGGCTCCCCGTAGTCCAGCTACTCGGGAGGCTAAGGCAGGAAGACTGTGAGACAGTGAGGTACTGTCTAAGAGAGGTCTAGCTATATAAATCTAGATTCAGACACAGACGTGGGTAGACATGCCAACAGTCACCAAATTGACCTCCCAGAAGTATGTGACAAGGCCCCGGCGAAGGCCATTCATTCGGGACCTGAGCCTAAGGAATTATGACACCCACGAACTTCTGAACTTCCGTCTTAAAGAGTCGGTGTTTGGCCAGCCGTGGTGTGACAGCAGCAATGCCACACTCAGCCCTGCTGACGCGGGGGCGGGTCTGAGCTTTGGAGGGCAGAGGTGGGAGCGGAGGTGGGAGCCGGTCACAGCGTGAAGCCCTTGTGGGAGGCGCTGTCCCTCTTGCGCGCACTCACCCTCTCTCTTTCTCTCTCTCATGGAATAAACTTTGTTTAGAAGTTGGTCTTTTGAGGAATTTTTTTCGTGTGGTAGAAAGCACAACCATTTAAGGGCATGAACACTCTACCCAAGGATTCTACTGCGTAAGACCGAACTTGGAATCTTCTAAATTCCACGTAAGGTAGCTTTCTGTTTTAAGAGTCTATGAATCAATATAAAATATTCTTTGCTTCTTTCAAGTTTTTGCTATAGGGCATGTGCACATGCCAGAAAGAGACAGAGAGAAAGAGAGAGAAAGTAAGAAATCACCTTCCATGGGGGATGGCCATGCCGCAGTCCCTTCTCCTCCATTCTCCTCTCGGGATCTTAGGCACGCATGCACACGTGCCCGGCGTGAGTTTAAGCCACCGGGTCCGGGACTTGCACCGTAGTCAACTATATGGGAGTCCAGCGACGTAGCCATTACACCAACTGCTGGTCCCTGGCGGCTTGCCTTCTCTTGGTGCTTTTTCTTCCTCTTGCAAATATTCTTTACAAGCTCTTTTTTCCAGCATCTTCTAAAATTCTGTTATTAAGATAATTTTTTTCTAATATCTAATTTGTCTAAGAAAATGAATTAAGCAATTTAATTTTTGGAAGGCTTTTGCTATAGGCTTGTGCACACTTGCTAGAGAACGACGCAGTGAGAGGGAAAGTGAGAAACCACCCCCTCAGGAAAGAATAAACTGTTTAGACTTCATTGCCTGATCATTTGGGGGTCTCTGTGAGGCTAGTATTTCACATGGCATTTTCTCTGTCCTACCATCAAAAGCAGCATCTGTCCGCAGCTCTCCTGTCACCATGAGGACCTCCCGGAACGCTGGCCTTGTTCTAGCCATCTCCGCGTACACTGCCTTTGCGACAGGTGAGTTACAGGTCCTGGCTCTGCTCACGTTTCCTGCAGTGGATCCAGAGTCCTAGGAAAATTAGAGGTGGAATCTGACGTGCCATTCACTTTCACTGAATCCTATGTACTCACATTACAGATGTAGAAATCAAAATCCGGACAAAGAAAGGATTCACACAACATCATTAGTGTCAAAGCTCCCCAGTCCCAACTCCCACAAGCACACAAGCCCTCCGAAAAAAATTATTTTAAAATAAAGTAAAATGGGGTCAGCGTGTGGTTATTAAGGTGCTGGATTCCAACATGGCTGACAACGGTTTGAGTCCCAGACCCAGCAACTTCAAAATCACGCCGGGCACGTGTGCATGGGTGCCCAAAATCCCTAGAAGAGGATGGAGGCGAAGGGATTATAGTGTGGCTATCTCCCCAGGGGGTGACATCTCTCTCTCTCTCTCTCTCTCTCTCTTTCTGTCTCACGCATGTGCCTTATGGCAAAAACGTTAAAAAATAACGTTAGTTCAACTACAACAATAAAAATACTAAGTGTGAATAAATTACACACTCTTAAAAGATAAAAACTGTCAAACTGAGTTACAAGCGAACAAACAAGATCCAGGGGCATGGCCAACTATGTTCGAGTCCCAGACCTGGTGACTTTCTTTCTCACTCTCTCTCGCTCTCTCTCTTTCTCTGTTTCTTTCTTGTGAGCATGCATGCCTTACAGCAAATTTAAAAATAATAACAATAATGAATAAAATTAAATACATAACTCTTTCAAAAACAAGATCCAACCACAGGAGTACACTAAGGAGTGCACAGGAGACATTCTTTAGAGTTAAACAACACACAGAATAAAAAGATTAAAAAGATGTATCATGCATACCACACCATAAAAAGCTGGAATTTTTTTTAATTTTAATTTTTGCTATAAGGCATGTGTGCTCCCAGAGAAACAGAAAGACAGAAAGCAAGAAATCACCAGCCAGAGGGGATGACCATACCACAATCCTTTCTCCTCCATTCTCCTTTCAGGACTTTGGGCACACACGCACACACAACCAGAGTGAGTTTTAAGCTGCCAGGTCCAGGACTCGAACCATGCAATTACATGGGCGTCCAGTGACATATAACCATTATGCCATCTGCTGGTCCCCAAAAGACTAGAATGTTTATCCTAACATCAAAGAAGAAATGTTTTTTCAAAAGAATTATTTTTGGGGCTAGAAGGTGGCATGGTGGTTAAGGGTGCTGGACTCCCACATGGCAAACCACAGTTTGAGTCCCGGACCTGGCGGCTTGCTTTCTTGCTTTCTCTTTCTCTCTCACTCTATCCCTCTCTGGTCAAATTAAAATAAATAAATGCATAAATAAGTGAATCAATAAAATCAAAATAACTCTTTCAAAAAAAGAATTATTTTATTTAAATGTATTTATTTATTTGTTTTAATTTGACCAGAGAGGGACAGAGTGTGTATGTGTGTGTGTGTGTCAGTGTGTGTGTAAGAGAGAGAGGGAGAAAGTGAGAAAGCAAGCTGCCAGGTCTGGGGCTCCCATGTGGGAGTCTAGCACTCTTAACCACCATGCCATCTGCTGGCCCCCAAACAATAGCAGTTAAGGGCGCTGGACTCCCACATGGCTGACTGCAGTTTGAGTCCTGGAACTGACAACTTGCCTTCTCTCTTCTCCTTCCCTCTCTCTCTCTCTCTCTCTCTGGTCACATTAAAATAATAATTATTATTATAATAACGAATTGAATTAAATAAATAAATAATTCTTTTAAAAAATTAGTGATAAAGAGGGGCATTTTGTAATGATTAAGGGTCAATCTATCAGACATATAAAACAATTATAAACATACATGTACATAAAACTAGAACCCCAAATATATGAAGCAAATATATGAGACAAAACTAACAAAACTGAAGAAAGAAATGGAGACTCAGTAGTAGCCTGAGACACCATAACTCACTTTTGGTGATGGCTAGAGAAATGCAAGACTAGCATGACACCGTTAAAGACCTGAGGCAGCAGGTGGCATGGTGGTTAAGGCGCTGGACTCCATATGGCTGACCACATTGGAGTCCTGGACCTGGCGGCTTGAGTATCGTGCCAGTCACATGCGCGTGTATGCCTAGAATCTCAAGAGGAGGATGGAGAAGGGACTGCAGTGTGGCCATACCCCCAGGGGGTAATGTCTCACTTTCCCTCTTTCTTTCTCTGTGTGTCTCTCTCTGGTGAGTGCTCGCATCCTTTAGCAAAAAATAATTTTTAAATTGTACCATCAGATTATAATATTATTATATTGTATACTTAGTATATTTTTAAAGTGTTTTTTTAAAAATTATTTTTATTTAACTTTATTTATTATTATATCATTATTACTTTTCAGTTTGATCAGAGAGAGAGAGAGAGAGAGAGGAAGTGAGAAAGCAAGCCACCAGGTCCGAGACTTGAACCGTGGTCGGCCATGTGGGAGTCCAGCGCCTTTAACCACCATGCCACTTGCTGGCCCCTATATACTTAGTATATTATATAAACACATAATATAAAATGTTATATACACACATAATTGCCCAAATGACTTTGGATTAAATGTGTCAGCCTTTTTTTTTTTTTTTTAAAAATTTTTTTTTTGAGGGACCAGCAGTTGGTGTATTG